AATGCATAGGCTTAAATATTGAATGAGAAATCCAAACTACAAATAAAGAGCAAAATAAAAGATAGATAAGAAGAAGTAGACATAGATTTTTCTCAAATGCAAGAGGTTCAAGAGACAAAGGGAGAGGAAAGGGAGGTAAAGGAAGTAAAAAAAAGGAATTAAGATATGTACATATACCAACTCCTCACAAGGTATGTAAACATGTACTGCAAACATGTACTAATACAAAAATACCTAAAAAACTATTATAAGTTTCAATTTACATCTACTCTATGATCCAGCAAACTATTTACTGGAGAACTGAAAATATATACAGCAACTATTTTAAAAAAAGACTTGTTCATAATGCTCATACAGCTTTATTCATAATAGTCCCAAATTTGAGCTGGGCATGGTGGCGCATGACTGTAATCCTAGCACTCGGGAGGCTGAGGCAGGAGGATCACTGTGAGTTCAAGACCAGCCTGGGCTACATAGTGAGTTCCAGGTCAGTCTCAACTACATTGTGAGACCCTGTCTCAAAAAATAAACAAATAACAAAACACAACAATAGTCCCAAATTAAATACAACCCAAGCCCAATAACAGATAAACTGATAAATTGTAGTTTATCCCTGAATGGATACTATTTATCAATTAAAAAGGGCAAAATATTTAACACATACAACACAAATGAGTCTCATAGATATTGACCCAAGAAGAGAACAATTACTACATTTATATGTGGCTATATAATAGAAAAAACTATGGAGACAAAACATACAAAGTAGTTATGTAGAAAATACAAAGTAAGTGGTAGGGGAGAGAATTTTCTGAAAGGGGTGCATGATAATTTTCTCTGGTAGTAGCAATCTTCTGTATCTTGATTGAGGTGACTATATGGTTAAAGATTTGTCAATACGTAGCAAATATACACTTAAAACCTGCTATGTAAATTATATCTTAATAAAGGTGACATATATTTGAAATATCAACATTCTAAACTAACCTCTAATGGGAATGTTGATAAGCATTGTAATCACCACACTTCCTCAAACCATGAGTAATTTCTTAGTCCTAATAAAAGGTACCTAAACTCACACTTGGTGCAGATTATTTTGTGGTACTAATGCCAGTCTTCTCATGTGAAGGCATACATCTCCACACTTACTTACTATAAAATTCACCTATGTTCCTACCTGGCTGCCTGTGTCTTGACTTAAAGCTCCAATAAGGGAACCTGAGGGAGGGGCTGGGTCCTCACTGTATTAGGATCTGGCTTCCAAGTGACATATGGTTTGTAAGCCTCAGGACTTCTATCAGTGGGTAAAACTATGGTATAACAGTACCTCTATGATTGCAGGTTACTGAGAACCATAATCTACATAGACAAAACAGAACCAAGAAACTAGAGTATGGAGTAAAAGTTTCATTATTTTGTGGACTACTCCTGTCTGTTTCCTAAAGAACCTTTTTCACTAAATGGACTAAGAGTAAATAACTTAGTGACTCTATATATAGTCAATCTACAAATATTTATTCACTGTCATTTTTTTGGAGTAGGAATAACTTGAGGGAAAGAAAGAAAACCAAGAAAGAATGGGGACCAGAACATGGGTTGCCTGCACATCCCACTTCTCCAAGATGTTTTATACGGCAAAGCCATGTGGTAAGGTGGTTACAAAGTGGGACAAAACTGTAAGACACAGTGGCAAAATTACAAGGTGGGCATGAGGTGGGGTAAAACCATGACCACCTAATAAGATTACAAGTAGAGTCGCCCAGGTAATATTCATTAAATGGGAGTTAAATGGAGACTCCAGTCACACAGCAAGTGTAGAAGGATTTCAGCAAGGTTGGGGATCAGGGATATTTCCTGGAAAGACCCACACCCAGGTGACTGAAACCTATTTGGAATTATCCATCACTGCTATTCATGCCCAGGGGAAACACAAAGGTATAATAGTTTCTCTTTCACAATTCTGCCCTTTAGTGAATGTTACCGTCCTCCACGTTGGCTCCTTGCTGTGTTGACTCCTTGATGGTGGTCCTGTCTAACTCCCTAAAGTTATTTAATTAACTTACCTATCTGCAATATTCCCCACTCTGAAGTACCCCTAACTGCTGTGAGGGGACAAAGGATGAATACAGCTCTGGCTACTTCCAGCTGAAGGGGGTCATAGTCGTGATCAGCAGTTACTCTACAGAGGGTCTATCTAAAGACCCTTGGTAAGTGCCTGGCACTGTCTCCTTGGTAGCTACATAGCTTTTTAAGTCTGGAGGAGACAAAGCCAAAGACACAGTTAAGCATGTATGGACCAAATTAAAAGGTCAGTAAGACTGCTATGAATATAGCCCACAAAGAGGATAAAGGAGGTCCAGGGACTACAGAACCTAACATAGAAGTCATATTGTTTAGTTTAGCAATTATGAGCTGTTTACAAGGTCAATCTGGTGAACCCTGATAAAAGAAGTCTAGCACATTTGTCACTGATTCCATTTATATGACCGCTTAGAGTTTGGCAGCCTCAAAGATGTAGAATCCTATAGGAATGGTTCCTTGTTTACTGGATCTTACAGAACGTGAGGGGCCAGGGCCAAAATATTAATGGCTGTCCTCCTAGCCCAGCTACCTTTCTAGTTTTGGTCTCCTAACTCCGACCAATAATCTTGGTGGAAGACCTCCAAAATGTTATAGGAAAGTCACAACTTCCATACCTACTAGATAACTGAAATGTGAGTTCGTGTTCTCTAATATTGAAGAATGAATTCTAGGAAGAATGAAGAATAAGAATAGGAAAAATTTACTGAGGGAAAGAAAACTTCGAAGAGATAGGACTAGAAAGTGGGTTGCCACTAATCACTGACTTTGAATGCTGCAGAATGGAAGCTATCTTTGGGCTGATAAAGGAGCCACAGCTTACTACTACTAAGTCATAGGTTTGTTATGAGAGATTGTTTCTTATTTCCAAGAATACCACTTTTTTTCCCACTGATGCTTAAACTTTATTTTATAACCCTGCCAAACAAGCCGGAAGCCAGATATTAAAAGTAGATTTGATGAAGCCAGGTGTGGTGGCACACGCCTATAATCCCAGCACTTGGGACACTGAGGCAGGGAGGATCCCTGTGACTCTGACTAGCCTGGGCTACACAGTGAGTTCCAAGTCAGTCCCAACTACATAGTGAGACCCTGTTTCAAACCAAAACAAAAAAAAAGTAGATTTGATGAAAACCGTCTCCAGAAAGTCCGTGGCAATTGGGATAAGCCTTTTGGCATTAGCTTCTTTTTTGAGGTATTTATCTACATATAACAGGTGATGTTTAAAAGCAGATACTTCCCTGTTTTATAAAGAACGCTTATGCCTTCCTTTTTTTATTTTTTGTACTGAGGACAGAACTGAGGACCTTGCATTTGTGAGGAAGGCAGCAGAACCAGTAAGCTAAATCCTCATTTTGCCATCCTCTTTTAAACAATGAAGAAAACTTACTTCACTGGGAAAAAAATTAACTTTTTCTTCATCTATTACAAGTGGACTTCCACTACAAAACAGATATGCTTTTATGTAAGCCTGGTGGTGAGGCCCACAGTTCCTCTGCTTGACAAAGTTCCAACAATGACGGGCCTCAGGTTGAAAGCATCGCTCCAGCTTTTTTTTTTTTTGCTTGCACTTTTGATTGGCTTAATTGTAATTACAGGAAATTTGGTTTTAATGAAAAAAACCTGTACAAGCTACTTCTGAGAAATACGTCACTTGTGTCAGTCACTGAACCCCTGATCCAGGGACTTTCTTTGAAAGGGTTTCCAGTTTTCAATAATTGAGGATTACACTCCGACAAAAGCCACCCGGCTTTCTTCCAAGCATCCAGTTACTTATAAAAAAATCCCAGAGAGGTACTCAAAGATTTGCGGTAGAGTGATCTCATGGCCACTAGGCAACTCCATTTCCTATACTGGAGCGTACATAGATGAAGTGACAATGGTGTGGAAAGATAAAAAATGAGTAAGATATCAAGATTTGCCCTTTGCTGAAAGAATGAAACGTTCAGGAACACAGTGATGTCTACACATTAAAGAACAAGTAAATACTACTGTCAGGCAGCTGAAAAGTTATTATAGGCTTAGTAAATGCAAAGTACTTGCTTTTTTGACTATATAAAAGTTTAACCAAGAAGCTGAATAACCACAGCAGTTCTTTATTAAAACCTAGTGATCTGCTAAGAGTTGGCCGCAGTCTTTCCATTGTAGCTGAGATAGACATACTAACTTTGAAAAATGGTGGCAAGCTTGGATTGTTCTCGGTTTAGCTTTCATTCACGCCTTTACTAGGTAACTGTTTGACTAACAATAGCTGAGGCAATAGATAAAATGCTCCCAGAAATAATAAAATATGCTTTCTGACCATAAAGCAACCTGGTCTCAGACCAGAACCTAAGGAACATAAATTCTAAGTACTTTATCATAATCATAGATAACTCGTCATTATGAGTATCATTAGCACTGCAGTTTTGATACTATTCTCCACCACTGTGGGTGCTAACAACCATGCTGGATTTTCTCTGGGCTCATACAATTAAAAACTCCATTCCTGGACATGAGGGTGGAAACTAATTGCTCAGAGACCCAAATTCTAAAACAACCACCGCCACCAAAAAGAAAGAAAAACCAACCCTGGAACTCACTGAAAATGTCTCTTCTGTCTCTGCTTGTCCTTAATTCATTTTGTTTTTGAGATAGGGTCTTGCAATGTAGTTCGGGCTGGCATTTAACTCACAGCGATCCTCTGGCCTCAACCTCCTGGGTGCTCTCAGAGGTGGAGGCAGGGGAATTTCAAGCCCCACCCATCCAACTCACTGACTCAGCAAAACCTTTTCTCAAAACAAAAAACTAAGGGCTAAAGATCAAAGGCCCAGAATTCAGTTCTTAGTATTGCAAAGCCAGCCAACCAAAACCCTTCAAATTACAAGACGAAACAAAAATCACATTAAGTTTGGAATAAAAGATACCATAACAAATTGGGCCAATAATTTAATAATTTGCATTTCCAAATACATACTCTGTGGCCCACAATATCCAATACCAGGGAGAGAAACTACATCAAATAGATATATATCATGTTACAGGTTACACAGTGTTAGACAACGGGAACATGAAGTTTATAATTTGGTATTTAATTTGATGTTTGTGTTGACTCCACAGAATATACTTACTATTAACAAGACTGACTATATGTTCTGTAAGAATACAACATATGAGCTGGGCATTGTGGCTCAAGCCTGTAATCCCAGCACTCAGAGGGCAGAGCCAGGAGGATTGCTGAGAGTTCGAGGTCAGTCTGAGTTATACAATGAGTTTAGGGCAACAACAACAAAACAACAACAGAATACAACACAATAAAGAACAAAAATACACCACAGGGGCCAGGGGTTCAGTACTTCTGCTGCATTCCTTGGAAGTGGCAAGTTCCTAAATTTGATATTTGGTACCCAAACAAACAAACAAACAAATGAACAAAAAACACACAAAGCACAGGACAAAGTATCTTCTTAAATTGTATTTAATTCAGCAAAAACAATTTCTGTAAAACAAAAAGTGCAATATTTAAAGAGTAGGACAAGGTGTACCTGCTTGCAGGAATATATATATTTTTTGACACAGCTTCCAAAATATTGCATACATTCAAAAACTACCAATTCTCTTTTGAATGTAGTATTAGTTAGGAGTTTCTCGAAATCTTTAAACAAATGCTTACTCTAAAATGGTACTTCAGAATTACTTTAAACTTGGCAGCTTCTTTTCAAGTTATGTCTGAAATTAAATCTAAACAATAAGAATTGTGAAATGGAAAAAGAATTAGGGCAATTCTTGCTTTCAGGGAAAACTCTAAAAAATTGAGCCAGTAGGCAAGTATTTCAACATGCTGTTTCAGATTATGGATTGTGATGATATCCATTTAACTGGAATTCAGAAAAGTTTCAGAAGCATCAATTAAAAAAATTAAAAAAAAAAACCAACAAAAAAAACACAAATAGCTTTTTGTCTTATGCTCTGTGTATGCTGCCATAGGTAAAATTTGCATGTTTTAATATTTTAAAATTCCCAATACTAGTATTTTAACAGTCTTCACTGCATCAAGATGGAATTATCAAACATTAAACATGAAGAACATGGGATTTAGCTCAGTGGTTCTGCTGCATGCCTCAAAAGCGCAAGAACCAGAGTTCAATCCCTGGTACCCAAACAAAACAAAACAAACCCTCCCCCGCAAAAAAAACATGAGGAACATGTCAAACTTAAAATGTGCAACCACAAACAGCTTGTCATTATTTCTCTCCATTTTATACATATTGTAGGAACAAGGAATAAAAGCTTTGAGCAAGACAGTCAATTTTGTATACTGCTGTTATTCAGGTAGCTCAATCTCTGTGGCAATAGAAACCGGGTGTGAAGCCATGTTAAATGCTCTACTACGCACAGCTTTGAAGTGATTAACCAAATAACAGAATAAAAGGTAAAAAACATATTATATCATCAATTTTGACATCAACCATGTAGTTCAAAGGTCACCTATCACTTTTATATATCCAATACCAAAGAATGAACAGGAAACTACTGATGTGCTTGACATGGATAGATTCTCTAATATTCCTTTTTATTTGTCTGTTTTGAATAAGGGAGTTGATCTACCTGATGGAAAGCAGACAACAAGATGGAATACACAAAATGTTATTATGAAAAGTAACTAATGTTTTTATAGATTTCTGAATTTTCAAAAAGTTTCTTGCTTAAGAACAGTGAAACAATATGTACATCTCTCCCATTTACATATTATTATCAGAAATTTATTACAAAATTCTATACATTTTCTGTTGCAGGTAGATTTACTGAAAGCAAATTTCTGTAATGTAGATAGTGAATACATTCTCCACTCCAAATTGCTTTGTAACAGTTTTTCTAGTCTTAAATATTAACTAGGCACAGAATGCTGAATGAATGCTCTTAAAAAGTTAATTACGTTCAATGATCTTTTACTTCAGATGAAGCTACTTCTTCACTGCCTTCATAATTTTCCTGTACTTGTTGGCCACTTTGTTGAGGATTGTTCAAGTGATGTGCCGCTGGCCCTGTATACGGATGTCCATGTACATGGTTATTCTAAAAAATAGTGACAGAGAACTGCATGTCAAACTTTTCATATATTACACTTAAAACTTTAAATCACAAACTAAAGTTTGCCTAAAAGTACCAATTTGAAGATTGAACCCACACTCTTTGAAATGAGATAGATCCCTAGGCCCCCCCCCCCCGACCTTTTAAAACTCTGAGATGGCTTCACAAACACATGATCTCAGGTTAGGCTTAAATTTGTGAGCCTCCTGACTCAGTCTCCCAGAACACAGGGGTTATAAGTATTTGCTGGGATGGATGGGGATTTAGCTCAGTGGTTCTGCCACCTGCCTCTCAAGCACACAGTCTAGAGTTGGATCCTGAATCAAAAAAAGAAAAAAGTATATGAAGTATATGCCACTGCACTCTGCTAAACAAAAAGCAGCTTGGTGGCAGAATGCTTACCTAACATGTGTAAAGTGCTAGGTTTAATTCTTAGTCCAACACCGCCCAACAAAAAAACATAACTGATTCCTATATCAAAGGTAAAAATGTGTTGTTTTAACTTTATCTTCATAGAAAAGATGTTTACGAATTTTCCATCACCATTTGCTATGCTGAAAGGAATAGTTCTGGACTGCAGATGTTGCTCAGTGGTGCCATGCCTACCTGGCAAGCACAAGGTCCTGAGTCTGATCCTTGGAAAGTGGGGCGGCGGGGAGAACCTTGTTTAGTTGGGCTTCACACTTGTAATCCCAGCACTTGGGAGACAGAAGCAGAAGGATCACTGCAAAAATCAAGGCCAGCCTGGATTGTATAGTGAATTCACTGTGATCCTCCTGCCTCATCCTTCTGAGTATTGGGATTACAGGTATGTGCCACCACAGTTGGCTTTTCATTTATATTTTTTCATTTAGTTTCCTCCCAAGTGTATTGAAAAAAATTACTGATATTTTAAAAACTTCTTTAAGGCCACTGAATCTCTGTGCCAAGTAATCAAGATTTCCATTCACATGAGGTATACAATTTATGAACTATAGCTAAGTAGAGCACACTAGGGTGTCTACTGGATAGAAAACACTATGGGTTGAAGAAGCATGTTGCATTATGATCCCATTTTACTCTTCTGATTACCTTGTCGAAGCTGATCTTAATAGATAAATCAGCACTTTATAGTTATAACTGTCACAAACAGGTAAGGAAAAAATATCTTTACAAAAAGGCACAAAAATTAGTTTGGGCAACAAAACTGAAAACATCTACGTTTACCTGTTGACTCTGAGTTCCAGGTGAATGATACAATGATGCATCTTCTAGTGGAGAGGGCTCTTGCTCATCTGGAACATCTTGGTCATCTGGCTCCTATTTAAAATTTGAACAGATTGAGAATGTGATTATGAAAATAACTTCAAATTTATTCCTGATCTCAAAGTTTTTTTGGTTGCTGTGGAGATACTTTCACTAAATAGCCTTGTAGCACAAAGTAGCCTCAAACTTATGTTTCTGAGTAAGAGGATTCATGGGTACGTATCACAGTAACTTCATTTAAATTAAAAGAAAACTTTTTAAACAAAGCTGACATCCAATCTTTCCATTTTTAAATAGAGTAATTTATAGCAAGAGGAAAACAGGGCTAGGGATGTAGCTCAGCACAATGCCTACCTGGCAGGAGTGAGGCCCTGAGTTCGATCCCCACTATAACAAACAAAAAACCCCAATTAGCCAACCAACCAACCAACCAAAAAAAAAAAACCCCGGGGGGAAAGGAATTGAATTTTTTTTGGCTTACATTTACTTTTTTAAAATACTGGGGATTTGTGGTTACTATGACAGCAGGAAGCACTACACCCTATCTTTTGTTGCCATTTTAATTTTTAGATAAGGCTGGTCTCAAACTTGAGTTGTTCCTGTTCAACCTCTCAGAGTGCTGGGATTATAGGTGTGAGGCACCAAGACCAGCTTAGACAACACAATTTTAAAATACAATTTCATGTACATTTTTTCAAAAAGAAACGACATGGTCAATTTAAGAACAAATCAATCAATGCTAACTACTTAAGCAAGCAAAACTGTAACTTTAAAAAAATACAATCATTAATACATAATACATAAATATATAAAATGCAATCATAATACATAAGCCTGTGGAATAATGTATTTATTTCTACCTATTGCCAATAGTTTTTTCTTACCTCTTCTAGACAGAGCTCACAAGCTTTTGCAAGTGTCATCCCAGCACTATGTGATCTTTTTAAGAAATAACCATTTGATGTTTCATTGCTTTGTACTGGAGGAGACCAGTTGTTGTAAGTATACTGATGACTGCCAGTATATGGGTGACTTTCAAGTTCATCTCCAAGCCATTCCACTGCCCATATCCATTTTCTTTTAAGATCTTCATTACCCTTCAAAAGAAAATAGAACTAGATTTGCAAAAACAACAACAAAAAGAGTAATTTTCAACACCAATTTAAAATGACAATTCCCAAAACTTTGCTGGTATTTTCTTTTAAAATTATGACTCAGCATAATATAAACCTGTAGTATCTCTCACCTGTAAAATTTGGTAAGCAACAGGACAATTGTTAAAAAGAGCAACCACACATTTTATACACTGATACGCTCTTTTTGGATAGTGATTCTTAGAGTGTTGAATTGTATCAAAAAGTCCATCTTGGTCATCTGGAATTCCTTTAAGAGCATTATGAATTCTAAAAAAGAAACAGACACACAGTTTGTAGTATCTAGAAGAAACTAATATATGTATGTTCTACCTCAGTAGTGATACCAAAAAGAAGGTAAGAATTTGCCTACAAATGTTTTAAAATCATGACTAAGATGAACATGGGTTGTATAAAGTTGTAATTTAGCTAGAGCTGAAATGAACCAAATGATCAATGATATATCTACATCTACATATATATATATATATCCACCCGTCCGTCCGTCCGTCCATCCGTCCGTCCATCCATCCATCCATCCATCTACTTTTTGTTTGCTTGTTTTTTTTGAGACAGGGTGTCACTATGCAGTTGAGATTTACCTGGAAGTATGTAGCCCAGGCTGGTCTGAAACTCACAGTGATCATCCTGCCTCAGTCTCCCAAGTGCTGGGATTACAAGCGTGTGCCACCACACCTGGCTTAGAAGCAACTAACATTTGGTACTTGTGTGTCACCCAGGGTATTTCTAGAGCTAATTTCTTTAATCAGGAAGCAGTAGAAAACTCACTTAGAAGCTGAGAAATCAAGAAGAAAGAGGATAAATCTCTCTCAAAATATTAAGAATAGTAAGTGAAGGAGCTGGCTTATTCAAAGGTTTGACCTTTTGTCAAATTAATTCAAAGTGATTTTGCTAGCTGGGACACTGGCACATGCTACAACTTGGGGAGCTGGCAAAAGGACTGAAAAATCTCAGGCGTGTGTAAGAAATTTACTGAAGCCGGGCGTGGGGCACACACCTGTAGTACCAGCACTCAGGAGGCTGAGACAGGAGAATCACTGAATTCAAGACCAGCTACACAGTGATTTCCACAGTCAGTCTCAACTACATAGTGAGATCCTGTCTCAAAAAACCAAAAACCAAGACAAAACAAAACAAAAAAACCAAAACAAAAAACAAAACAAAGCAAAAAACAACAAAGCAAAAACATTAAAAAAAGGAACAGGGTTGTATAGCTCTGTGCAAAGAAAAGCTCTGATTCCATTCTCAGCACCACACACACAGAAACAGACAAAAAAACACAAAACCAAAATGAGAAAGATTTTGCTATAGTAACTTAGGTGCATCACCACTACCACCTTCTATTTGAGAGGCACGTGGCAGAACCACTGAGCTACATCCCTGGCCTGTTAAGTGCATTATTAAAAGTGACCACACTTCTTTTTTTCAAGACTACTTTAGATAGAGATAATGGAATATTTTAGTCACAGTTGGTTTATTTTTTGTTTTTTTTGTTTTTTTTTTTTTAGGATGTAAAATCAGGGATTCAGTAACTGAAAAATTAAAATAATCAGGCAGTGGAAAATTAACTTGAATTCCAACAGTGAGTATATACACAGGGCCAGGGATTTAGCACAGTGGCACTGTGCCTGCCTGGCAAGCACGAAGTCCTGAGTTCAATTCCTGATACCACGGGAAAATAAAATAAATCAAAACAAAATACCCCAAACAAATGAACAAGGAATATATATACATGATAGGTAAAGCACATCTCTTACACCCACACTGGCACTAACACAATCCGGCTGATGATTGATCAATAACTTCATTTTAGCTCTAGCTAGCCCATGTTCATCCCAGTCATGATTTTAAAACATTATTTATAGGCAAAATCATACCTTCTTTTTGGAATCATTACTGAGATAGAACATAAGTAAAAAAACTTCTTTTACATCTATACCTTTAATAAAGGAACATATTCTAAGTCAAATGCTAAGTTTTTTCATAATTATAATAAAAGCCTTGCTTGGAAACTGGAATTTTTCGGAGTTTAATTACTTCTGAGAAAAAATATTCCTCTCGATACACTGTCATATTCTGTTGAACAGTTCCTGGTAAATGCTTTATAAATACTTTACTAATTTTGTACATAAAAGTTCGCTATTCACAGTGTGTTTTATGGAAAGTGCTCCACTGCTGAGTTATTATTATCAGCACTTAATTCAGCTATCATGATTTCCTTGGTTAAAAAAGGACAGGAAGTAATTAAATCAAATATCTGAAGTCACACAGGCAACAAAAACAGTAAAAATGATATTCTAATAAAATGAAAACACAAAAAAACCACCTGAATCTAAGTATTGAAATTATGTCGTAAATGATTACATGGTTTAAGAATGTTTTTAACATTTTTGTTTCACAGCAATCAGTTTTTGAACAAAAGCTTTTAAAAATTGGTACTGGGCACTGTACTATATCCCCATCCTATGAAAATTTTCAGTGAGACAGGGGTCTCATTAAATTGCTGAGGATAGGCCTGAACTTGGGATCCTCTTGCCTCACTGTCCTAAGTATCTGAGAGAGCCAGGTGTAGTGGCTCATGCCTGTAATCCCAGCACTTGGGAGACTGAGGCAGGAGGATCGCGGAAAGTTCAAGACCAGCCTGGGCTACAAAGTGAGTTCCAGGTCAGTCTCAACTATGTAGTGAAACCCCGTCTCAAAAAACAAAAACAAAAACTAAGTACCTGATATTACAGTGCAAGACGCCAGGTGTCATTATAATCCCAGTACCTGGGAGGTTGAGCCAGGAGAACTGCCATGACTTTGAGGCAAACCTGGCCTATACAGCGAGTTCAAGGCCAGCCTAGGCTATTCTAAGTGAGTTAAAGGCCAGCCTGAAATACAAAGCAAGACCTTGTCTCAAAAAAACAAAACAAAACAAAGACTAGTGTTACTTTTAGTGTTTTTATTTTCAGGTTTTTCTATAACTCACGAGTGAAAAGATGTATAGTTTTCTGTTTGAGATTAAATTCAATGCCTAGGTATCGAGTGACATCTTTTTTTTGTACCGGGGAGTAAATTTGGGTCCTTTCACTTGCGAGGCAGGCAGTGGAACCACTGAGTTAAATCTGTGGCCCTTCTATTCTTTTTTGAGACAAGGCTTTGCTAAATTGTATTCATCAGGATAGCTCTAGCTGAAACTTTTGATTCTTTTGCATCAGCTGCTCAGCATAATGGATTAAAAAAAAAATAAAATCCTGGAATAAGCTCTTATTGTGCAGCCCAGGCTAGCCTTGAACTTTCAGAGATCCTCTTGCCTCAGCCTCCTGGGTGCTGCAATTATAGGAATATGCCAGCATGGCTGGCCTCCTTTCTGTTTCTTAAAATAAGTGACTATGAGATCATCTGGAAGGAAAAAAGGTGGGCTTTGAATAGAGCTAGGCAGCAAACTCTACACCATTATCCTGAGCAGGGCTAAATCCTGGCCCCACATGAAGGAATTTTAAAGCATGTTTAAAGGCCTTGTAATAGGATAACTTCAATTATAAAAACTTCCTTACCACTTTGATTTCTCAAAAACTCACAAAACTACTTATATGCTATGGATTTTTAGATAACTTAATGTTACTTAGAATAAAGTATTAAATCCTGTTCCAAAAAGAAAATATATATTGAGGTAGTAGCATTTGCAGTTATTTCTAGAACTTGAAAAATTGTGATTGGATGAGTAGCAACAGAACATCTACCTATGAGTCTGCCAGGAGTCCTCAATCAGTAAAATTTGCAAAAGGAGATCCAAGTATGGCCGGAGCTCAGAGGTGTATGAAGATGCAACCTAAAAACAGGTACAACACAATGAGTTACTTAAAAGAATGTAAATAAAATTATAGACATGTAAATATTTATTTTTCTTTAACCTGCCAGAGAAGTTCACTCAGGACAGTAGATGAGAACTGTGGATTCTCCCAGCAGCAGAATCGAAGTAACTTGATGGTCTCTTTTGAATTACTGCTGTCTTCAATAACTTTCTTCACATAACTAGTGTTCACAAACAAAATATCTGCCACATTTTGCTGGACAGGCATTATAGGCTGTGATAAATTAGGGTCACCAAAAGGATTGGGAAGAGGGGGATTACCTAAAAATAGTTAAAAATTAATAAATTATTAAATTTAAGCACAAAAATTTTACTAATATGATCAGAACTAAGAAAATATATGGTAAAACTAAAGAAAAAATAGTTAAAAATTCTTAAACCAACTATTTTATACATCAAGTATATATTATGGTATGTGAATTTAAAAAGGTCTCTTCTCTTTAAAACATGTAATAAAGCTAATTACAAAATTCCAAAAGCATAGACCTTTCATATTCTTTATTTTTATAAATCTTATTTTCAGCCAATACTATGCACAGTATTATTAAGAAAAAAATATATGATTACAGTATAAAGCATGCTACGTTACCACTAATTGAGGATTGCATTCTTGATGAGACACTACAACAGCGGATCAACTGAGATACTACTGTGTATAATTTGCCTAATTCAGCATACTGGTATTTGATTGGAACACCCGATCCTTCACCTAAAGATACAAGCATAAAGGTAGCAGGTACATTCAATTTCAGAAGTTGTGTCTTTTCTTCCATGCCTATAAAAAAGGGGAGAAAAATAGGTGTAAAATTTAGAATGGGTAACACTGCAGTACTAAAACAAGTAATTACCACAGCTGCTTAAGTAAGGAGTCTCTGTTCAGGCTGAAGAGAATATAGATAAAATAGACAAAAATGAAACTACTGATTATAACTAAAAATAGCTGGGTGTGGTGGCATATACAAATTTGTTATCCCAGCACTCTGGAAGGCTGAGGAAGATCCTATTTTAGCCCAGCCTGAGCAAGTTAAGTCAATTACCAAGACTATCTCAAAACCAATCTGCTCCCAAATGAATCAGAGATACAGCTCAATGTGAAGGTTTTGGATTAAAACCCTAGTACTAAAAATCAAGTGAAAAAAATCAAATGAAAACACCAAACCAAATCACAAAGGTCTGTGAAGTGATTATGAATTTGGCATTAGAATTATACTGGTGTGTAGGGGGAAATGTACATTTTTTAGATTTTAGAGAGTTTAGAATAAATTCTGTTACCAATTCTATAAGGTAATACAGAAGCTAAACTTTATTTTTATAAAAAAATGAGTAGTTTATTTTTTACTTGTTAGGGAAAAATATGCCAGGTTCCAGTTTATTTGCTCATTTCTAATGTCTCACCTTTCTTGGCTTGAAGCTAAGAAACAGTTTTCAGATTTTTTTTTTTTTTTTTTTTT